TAAGTAGGTGTAAAGAGGCATATAATCATAATGTGTATAAAACAAGAAAGACAAGGACACCTTTATCTCACAAAGGAATAACAGAAACACATTCCCACAGAGGAAATTTGTAGTTTCCAAAAGCATCTCGAATTGTAGTTTGGCGAAACCAAGTTAGGACGTTGTTTCACAACGATTGTGAAAACAAATTTAATAAACGCATTTTAGTTCGAGTTGGCCCGAAATGCAACAAAGAAAATCTGACTTTGTTAAAGTCAGAACAAAAGGGGTTCAAGTAATGAGTGATTGTCTCTGAAAAGAATAGCGTCTGTTTAATTTATTCTCTGATATTCTCTGATTGTGCTGCGGTGCATTTCCAATGTGTCTTCAATAAAATCCCAGAACGATTCTTAAATATGTTAATACCGGTCCGGAAAGATTGGTTAATAGATTTGATTCGGTCAAAGAATTTTTGAATGGATGAGAGTAGAAAGTGTAATGAATAGAACATGACATAAGTTATTTGGATAAAATGTTAAATTTGCATGCTATTTTCAAGGCTGGGCCTGTTCGCATCATATTAAACCTTTAATACCACAATATGTACCACCCCATTTATAGCAAATATATGTATAATTTGAATAAAGGCCCGGTCCAAGGATATGCAATTGGATTATCTACAATCAGGCGACATTTCTGTTCTTTGCTTCCTATATCCTATAAAACTATTCAACCGCTGTTCGCAGTTCCCTTACTCAGTCCCGACGTGCAAAACATACTAATAAGTTTTCGTTATACACGTATAATAAATATTCCAACAATTACAGTCCATCCTAAGGTTACCTGATTAATACCCCAATACCCATAAAATAAGGTAAAATAAGGCGCAAAAAGAAATATCTTTTTAATATTAATGTGATGGGTGGGCTTGTTTCTTGTCGCAAATTGAGTCACATAAGTATGTTGTACGGTTAAAGGAAATTACTCAAACTAGAATTTATCTTTTCAGTTCGTCAGAGAGCTGAGAAAGATGAAGAACTATTTCAGCCCTTATTTCGGAATCCAAGGATAATGCGTTCGTCGTGATAAATTCATGCAAAACAGGAAAACATTTAAAGATACTTCGACTGCACGGATGGAGTAGTGGTTTAGGCGGTCGCCACGCCCCTTCCTACTGCGCCGAGTGTTGTAGTTTCAAACCCCACATGGGACGACACTGTGTGTGATTGTTGTTCTGAGTCTGGGTGTTCTTTGTGTCCGTTTCATGTATGTTTGTAAAGTCCCCCGTGACACAGGAATGTATTCCTAATGCAGGAGTTGTCTTTTCAAAAGAAAAAAAAAAAGAAAGTTAATACACTGCACGTGGAACCTTGCATCGAAGCATTCCTTTCATTGAGACAAGAAAAAAATGTCACCTAAATAGATTACTCCTTTCAGCCAGGTTTTATCTTTAAATCGGAATTAAAATGTTGAAGTCACTATCGATTTCGTGACGTAGTTGAACAACCAGCGTACTTCACAGTGTAGCAGCAGTAATGAAACATGTTCACTACCCATGTATCGGCATATTAATGCGAAAAGTCGTGAAATTAGGGGACGCGCTTTTACACACACCATTTTACACACTGTGGCTCTTAGTATTGAGAAGTATTATCTGTGCTTCGCGGTGCCTTCTTAGATGGTGTCGCCGTCACGTGTTATGCAGACGACAGCTTGTGACGGCGTGCGGCAACACGCACCGTGAAGCTACCCTCAAACCCACGGCCGGGGTTGCCGAAGTCGTGTAGCAAAAGTGTGGCTCTGCACAAATCCGAGGCCTTGTTCTTTTATGGGCCTCGGTGGAAGCCACCTGAGGGATCCAGCCTCATAGTAGGAGGAGTCCTCGATGAGGTATCTGGGGCTCATACTCGATGGCCGGTGGCACTTCGGACATAATTTCCAAGGTCTGGTCCCCAAGTTGGTTGGAGTAGCGCGTGCATTAGTGCGATTGCTGCCCAACATAAGGGGACCCGATGACTCCTGCAGGAGGCTCTTTATGGGGCCCCAGTATGGGAGCCCCAGTATGGGATGGAGGCCTTGTAGGCCAGCAACGTCGCTTTATTGCGACCGCACCGAGTGCTGGCTATCAAGGTCATACCGCACGATCTCTTTTGAGGTGGCGAGTCTCCTGACCGGAACTCCACCGTGGAATCTGGAGGCGAGAGCCCTTGCGGCTGACTGCGATGGCCGGACCGTGGACACGGCGCTCCAGCAGAGGCGTGACCTCGTGGCTGCCATCGAAGTAGGAATTGTCTCGCTTAGTACCATGATTGCGGCCATGGTACGGAGCGAGAGCGCGTGGAACTCCGCCGTCTCCTTCTGCGAGCAAGTTATCTTGCGAAGGAGACGGAGAGACCGGGAACGGGCCAGGTACCGCAGGAGACTCAGGCGCCGGAGGTCGCAAAACGACGTCCGTCCTCCATAAACGCAGGCCTGGGGGTGACAGGTGAGGCCTAATGAACGTAATATAATGCTGAATAGCTTGCAGGTGACATCTGGGGCGGTATACTATGGGGATCTTGTGTCAACTAGGGTGAATTTCCGTGCGTTTAGGCGATTCTGCCATACATATTATAGAAATCAAATATAGCTCACGTAGGACCCGTAATATTTTGTGGCTTGGTGCTTCCCTGTTTAAAAGGGTGTATGCCCATTTTACTTCATTTTGTCTCCCGCTTTGCTAAGGAGGGAAGTGGATTTACTGTATTTCCAACTCCTCCAATTTTCTTCTGATTAATTTCGTTGCGGGTTCCAAGACAGTTTAATTTCTTCCTGGGACTTCCCGAGTGTCATAACTCGGTGTGTTCGTGGGTCACTGCTGTGGATCCTGGTGTACAGGAGTTACAGTGATGGGCGTGTGGGTGGGATTAGTCCCAGGTGAGGCCTTCTGACACCATTGCAGAAGCAGGCCGGGCTAGCGGCGCGACGCGTAGGGAGTGCGTGCGCCCTTTAGGTTGTAGAAGGGAAACACCATGGTACCCAGACACGAAGTGGTCGTCAATAAGCCGTAAATAGCCCGGGGTCCGTCGGGATTCAGGAGAATTCCTTCCTTAGGGTACACCTTGTTCCCCGGCTACTGGTACCCGAAGGGATTTCCGCAAAGACAACAAAAAAAAGGTATAAATATTATCTAAGATATAATCTATGTCATCATTAAATAACAGAAGAGGGTATTATTACTCTTTATCTTTAAGTAAAATTCTGTGTCAAGGATTTACGATTTTAAACCATGCATCAAATTAAGATTTTATCAAAAAGAAATAAATGAAAAGATAAGGACAAAATACGAGTCATACTTATCAAACAAAACAATCCCAAAAAAATATGATATCCTTTAATTTAAAATAAATAAACCGTGTAAAAACTGGATACGGTTTGCCAGCATTAAGCCACTAATAAGCCACTTATATTTCTATCACGTGTAATCAAAAAAACTAAAACGTTTTATAAAATGTTTAGGGTTTAAAACAGTTAAATCATAAATAATACTATAGTCCATCTAATCTAAGAGGTACCGTTTGACGTTTTATACTTTTCAAGACAAAATCACTTTCTATACCCATATCAGTCACACAATTTCCAATAACCTTTTCCGTAAAACCATGGAGTTATGTAGCTATTTTTATTCTGTCGCAAGATTTACAATTCTTAATACCTAAATTAAAATCTTTGAAACAAAGCAAAATGACCAAATTATACACAATAGATGTTTATTTCGAACTTTTATTTTCGTTATTGCACTTTTGTTGGTTCATGCTGTGCCTACCTTTAAGTGGCGTGATGCTTAACTTTAAAATTCATATGTTTATAAATACATTGTAATAGTGTACTTGCCGTTGGTGGCCTAATAAATAAATAAAGTAAATAAATAAACTTCATTTCAAAGTCACGTAGTTAGGTCCTTTACCGTAGTGTTGCAGCTCTTTAAATTCACATGAATACGAACAATCATTAAAATGTACGATAAATCTAATTTATTAATAAAGAGTAATTTTCAGTCCAGGCGTTTAAAAATACTTCAAATTCATCTGACATCAACATCTCAACGAAAGCGCATAATTAAAATTGATAGTATGTAAGTTAATGTAATTTTAAATATATCTTTGTAGGCAAAAATCACTTGTGTCCAAGTCTAGTGTGTACTAGAAAAAAGCCTATGATTACACGGGTTTTTATAGTAACATACATAAATCTGTAAAACTGTAATGGATAAGTATATACTAAGAAATGATATCGGAATCTCTTAAGAATCAGATATTTTGGTAATCGATATCATTGACCCCATCGCTTTACTTCAGAACTGTCAAACGGTACCTCTTAGATTAGATGGACTATAGTAGTTTATTTGCGCTACCACTGCGCCACCGAGGCAAAAACAAAAAACTACAGATTTGTAGCGTATGCGACTGCTATTCTGAGGTCTCGGATTCGATTCCCGTCGGTCGGACCAAATATTTGTATGCTCTGCAAATATTTGTTTCGGAGTTTGGGTGTTTTCTATATATAATATGTATGTATTTACAAAAAAGTATTTAGGTATTCTATCAGTCAATTTAGCTTTCATAGTACAAGCTCTGTTTAGTTTGAAACTAGATGGCGTTGTGTTAGATGTCTGAAATAATAAAAAAAAATGTTTTACCAGTATAAGAAAACACAGGTAGGTATTTCAGAATATTCTGATACTTTAGCACGTGAAGACACATTCTCTGATGGAGTAGTGTTTGAAATCAGTTCTTCGTTCTTCGCTGACCGAAAATAATGATCATTAACCTAGTTCAGAAGATCAGCTGTATGATTGGAGCTTGATTCTTATCTCCATGTACCAGGTCCTATAAGTTCTCCTGAAAGAGCGTCGTAACGCAAGTCTGTCTCAATAAACCAGCTATATAGGGCGCAAGTTACTCTTTACTATTTTATAAACTATCTGCCACTATTTCAGTAAGTAAGTAGTAAGTAGACATCTTGAAAATGGATGAAGAACAATGAAACATCTTCAACAGCCTTTAACAGTCGAGAACAACAGACGCTGGCCAGACGGGTTGGTATAAGGTTTGTGTGAAGTTTTCCTTCTCTCTGCAGTATTGCTGTTCTGCGTAGTTTTTTTCCCTTAGTCGGCTCTCACGACACCCACGGGATGAATAGGGAGATGAATTTCATATTTAGCAATGAAACAACAAGATTAAATTATACTCGGACGCTATTCAACTCGTAACACACGTTACGAGTTTGACAGCGTCCGAGTATACATACACATACTGAAATCCGAATGCACTCTTATAAGAGCAGGCTCGTACGAGCGCACTTGGTCCCAGCCTACTCTTAACGGGAAAACGCGCATTCAGATATTATTCATTTTGTTTTGAGAATCACTCTCGTTCACAAGTCTGCGGTTTGTTGTGGAGAGTCTTGATATTGAATATTTATATTTGTGTTTTAATTACTTTGTTATTGAAATCAGGTAAGTTATAAAATACCTAAAATATCCTAATTTTGAGTACAAAAATGCTGCTTAGTATTATCGAAATGTCCTACTGTATGAACTAAATACTAATGAATTAAAGTCGTCAACAAAACATCCTTATCTCCATACAGCAACAAGTAGGTGTCCTGTTATCAGTTGATAAACTCTTTTGAAGTACCAATGAATAATTACAATTATACAGAAATGTGAATAGCTTTATTATGTACCTACATATATTTTCCTACGTTTTATTGAAAACGTTAGATCATTCATAACCTTATTTGTTGAAATTTTATTAAGTAATTTTATACTCAATTAGTACACAATGTTAGCTTAATAGTAGTTTAGTATATAATGATATTCGCATAAACAAATGCACACGTTCGTTATTTGGATTATTATTATTTTGTTTACCATGAAATTGTTTTACTTATGATTTTTTTTTCTTTTAAAAAAAAACAACTCTCGCACTAGGAATAAATCCTGTGTGGCGGGGGACTTTACAAACATACATGAAACGGACACAAAGAACACTCAGATTCAGAACAACAATTTGTGAATCACACAAAGTGTCATCCCATGTGGGGATCGACCCACAACACTCAGCGTAGTAGTGAGCGGCGTGGCAACCGCTTAAACCACTACGCCATCCGTTCAGCCATTCTTATTCGTACGATAAGCTTACATATTATGGGAATAGGATAAATTCCTAATATGATTTATAAGGCAGTTATCATCCTCTGAAAGTTAATTCTAAATATTTATTTGTACCAACGACTAATAATACACACACTCATATTAGGTAGGACCTTTGTTATTAATACCTAGTCTAAACAAGAAACTGGTTCTGTTAAAAACTAGCGATGATTACATCGCTAATAATAAGGAATATTATAAATGCTCATGTTAGTTTTTTTGTTTATCATGCACTCCTTAACTAATCACAAAGAAATTTTCCATACGATGTCAGGTAATCATAAAATAGCACAGGGCACTTTTATTCATAAAATAATACACAAGTGTAAGCACCAAAGGTTCTTTACACATTTATTTGATGTTAGTTTTAACTTGATATATTTACGCGTTCCCGAGCAAAAAGGGTCTTAACCCATAGACAAACGAACAACAAAGTGATCACTCGAGGCACCCTGTTTTCCTTTTTCTAGGTGTACATATTATTCGGGGGGGGTCGTCTACTCGTCTGTAGATGACCCGAGGTATGTCGGGGCACCAGGGACTTCCTTTCTAGGGTATACCTGGTTCCCCGGCTATTAGTACCCGAGACGGCGTGCGGTTTTAGTCGGTACGATTCCGACATGCCACCGACAGGTGGTATCCGAGGGGATTTCCGCACGGAAAAAAAAAAGGTGTACATATTATATATACATATAAGAAAATTGGCGGTATAAAACTGTCTAACATACAAAGTCTAGTAAAAAACTGGACATATCAGTGAAAATGTCATCGATACGATATCTGATCTAAATAAAATAGGTCCCCATACAATCTGAAAAATCAGTTCTGGTATGTATAGTTGAGAAAACTGTTTAAAAACTTTCAGTTTGTAAAAAGACTCATCGCTTATCACTTAGAACACTCACGGAGAAGTTGGTGGAAAGATTTAAAGTATTAATTACGGGCGTACTGCAGGGGTCTGATAGTTTCCACAACTGAGGTGCTAACTGCATAATAGCCTTGAACAAACGCTAAAGATTCTCCAATAAAAGTTTAATTTAAAGTAAGAAAACCAACTGCATTGTTCTCTCTATATTACAAATTATGTTAATTTCTTAAAGTATAAGAATAAAGTTCTTTTCTGTCTTCATAATTGTCTGTTTTTTTTTTATCTCCCTTTACATTCACTAGCCATAATAAAAAAAAACATTAAACTACTAAAATAGAGTTGTCTATGTATTAATGCGAGAAGAAAATCCTTTGAACCCCTTGTTAAACAAATATGATGTTTTATTTATGAATTAGCTTTTGACCGCGTCTCCGCCCGCGTGTATGTAAAAAGTAGCATATGTTACTCGCTGGTAATGTAGCTTTCCATTGGTGAAAGGATTTTAAAAATCTATTCAGTATTTTAGGCGTGAAACCGTAATAAACGAACTTACTTTCACGTTTATAATAAAAGTATGGATGACAGTCCAAGTAATACAAAACGGTAGAAATTTTACCGCCCATTTTTTAGTTAATCTTATTTGTGATTGGATGAATGACAATAAATATCGATAAGCGTTATCACATAATGATTATTTCACAACAAATGACCACATCAAAACATTCGAGTGTGTTTTTTAAATGACCTTGCACTTGTACTGCATGTGTCATAACATAACAAGTGTGACCGACATTCCTTAGTCGGTTATCGGGTGTTATCAAGTTTTCGTCCATTTTGTAGCAAAAGCAAAAAAAAATTTTTATGGAAGAGGGGGCAGGCGAGCAGACGGGTTATCTGATGGAAAGTGACTGGCGTTGCCCATGAACGCCTACAACTCAGGAGTCAGAAACGTGTTCCGGCCTTTTAAGACGGAGTACGCTCGTTTTTTATGTGTAATTTAACAGTTAAAAATTTACCATTTTGTCAAAGCACAGCACTTTCTAGTACCAAGTAGACTGCAGACTGCTCAGACTAAACAGACTAGAGAGCTGAATAGTTGTAGGTACCATTACGGGACATCTGGCTTTGAATCGACACCTTTTCACCATCAATGCGACGGACAGACCCCTACGAAGACGATGTCTTAACGCAGAGAGAACTTTTGCCCACTGAAGTGCGTGGGAATGGCCACACAACGGGCTAGTATATTCCCCGGATACCCTAGTATCCTGCGAACGCCCCCACACTCAAGAGGCTTGTGTGCTTCAGGCAAGAGCTAGGCTGGCTCACCTTCTCAACTTCATCCCCAAGTATAATGGATTTATGAGTATTTATGCTAAAGTAGAACCCCCCACAAATACAAACACCAATCTATATAGCTTGTGGTATGGGTTACATACGTGTTAGAACCCATGTTAATATTAAACCTACATTAACAAAAATGTATCTACTAATAAGAAGTAGATACATTTTTGTAAATTCTTACGTATTTTACATAACATACCTAGTTTTATACTAATGGACATTTAGTACATATGATAATTTTTACGTCGCACGACACAAGTCATAAAACAGATACAATATAAATACTTTGAACAATAAAAAACAGGTAATGATTTTAGAACGACGAAACGGATTTTCTAGAATTTAACCTAAAAATATCTTACTCAACGAACCTTGCAAACAAAGAAACTAAACTAAATCAAAATCGGTCCGACCAGTTATAATAGGAGAGCCATGCACTTCAAAAATCGGTCAGCTCGACGGGAGTGATCACGGCCTCACAGAAAACCCCCTTGAGCAATTCCTTTTTTGTTTTTCACCGAGTGAGGGAGGTTACCGGAGATCAATCCCCTCCTGATTGTCGGAGGAGACTTAAAGGGCACACACAGAAGTCCATGGAAGGTAGTCACTCACTATCAGGTTCCCCGTCTGCTGGTTTGCCCCCTTCTACCATTAAAAACCAACGATGCCACATATACACAGAGTGCACGGATGCCGTAGTGGTTTAAGCGGTAGACACGGCGCTTCCTACAGCGCTTAGTATTGGGGGTACGAACCCCTCGTGGAACCACACTTTGTATGATCCACAAATTGTTGTTCTGAGTCTGGGTGTTCTTTGTGTCCGTTTCATGTATATTTGTAAAGTCCCCCGCGACACAGGATTCCTAATGCGGGAGTGGTCTTTTAAAAAAAGTAGAAAATTACAGATAGTTACAGAGATAGGTACACCCGTTAACTTTTAACGGTCTACCTTTTTGCGTCAGGAAGTACCTCATAAAAGCGACTGAATGATCCTTGGCTTCAGTTGTTTTCTACTGTATCAATATTGAAAAAGTAATTTTAATTAAAACAACAATAAATAATCCCTACACGTAAATTCAGAGCCATCTCCCTCCGGAGTAGTCAGATAGAACAGCGTTCCACAAAATAAGCGATAGGGAACGAAAAGAAGATAGATAAAAGTGGTAAAGATTAGTTGTAAAGTTGTTGTTGTTAATATAATAAACGAAGTTGTTGATAAATTTAATCTTACCTAATACTAAAAGTGTAACCATAAAAGTATAAAATTTATTGAAGAAAAAACCACCACGGGGTTTCTCCAGTAAGAGTACTTTTACTCTTATTGGGGAAACATTTTCCAATTAATAGTAATAATATTCTACCACATTCACACGACGCCATCTTATCCCAAACTAAGCAGAGCTTGTATTATGGCTACTAGACAACTGATTTAAATACTTATATACTTTTTTTGTAAATACATACTTATTATTCATACAAACACCCAGACCAAATCAAACATTGAATGTTCATGCACACAAATGTTTGATTTGAGCGGGAATCGAAACCGCGACCTTTGGAATAGCAGTCCGTTACACAACACTACGCCATCCGGTCATCATAATTAATACTAAATAATAATAATTTAACCTCCTTTCTAAGGAGAGGCCTATGTCCAGCAGTGGACTAGTATAGGCTGTTGATGATGATGATGATGATGAATAATAATTGTTACTACAAGTAATCTATAACACGACCTTTTACTCCACAACACTCAATTTTCATATTATTCCATATTTGAGGTACATCATTTCATCATCATTAGCCCAGAGCAATCCACTGCTGGACCTAGGTCTCTCCCATTGCACGCCACTTAGATCGATTTTCGACTTCTCGCATCCAGCTCCTGCCAGCCATCTTGCGCAAATCGTCATTCCACCTGACCTGTGGGCGTCCTACACTACGTTTGCCTAGACGCGGTCCCCACTCAAGAACTCGTTCGAATATAACCAGCACACTTCAGCTTGCTAATCCAGTGTGCTATGTCGATGAACTTGGTTCTCTGCCGGATCGCCTCATTCCTGATGCGTTCCCTTAGAGAAACGCCCAG